TTGCAAATGAAAACACATCAGTAGACCTGTAATGAATCCAGCTGGGCTTTCTTTGGAATGGATTCCTGCTGCTCTGCTCTGGTGATTCATGGGAACTGATGTTCCACTTGCTTTCCTGGAGACTGAAATTCAGCACATTTTTCAAGGTGGTTATGAAACAACATGTAAACGCAACATCTTGCCAGTTTTCACTCGTGACTGTGAGATCCACTGCTAAGTAAATAGCTCTCTGAATTAGCAAGTCAATGAAATAGTTACGTAGCTTATTTATTTAATAATAATTTAAGACAACCACTTTCTCCTCCCACCCCCTTTCCTACACTTGATTTTTGCCACAATGAATCTACTAAATCAGCCAGTTAACCATACTGAGAGAACAGGGACACATATGTATATTAGAAAACATATGTATCAGACTATAAGTTTTAGTCTCTAACCTAAACTAACTTATCCTAAAATAGAACCCATCACCGAAACACTTCACTATACACATATGTACATCAAACTCAACGCCAAGCATTTGCAGGTTGAGGGCCCTAGATTTAATAGCAAAGTGCACATCTCTTAATTTACGCAGCCTGTGACAAAATTAAGTCATTAGTATTATTTCAGTAGAGCAGTTTTCCAAACCATTACAACATAAAAATAGTAAAAATGCTTCAAAAACATGTTTAAAAGTCTAAGGTTAAAAAATACAGCATTTCTTAAATGGCAGCCTTGGCCTCTGTGGCAATGTCAAGAAAATGAGGTGTGGGGACAATGTGACAGGGAAGCTGGGATATGGGACACATAGATGTGCATCCGCAACCGACTCTCAATTACTTGTAAATTGGTTTGCCTCTATTATAGTTTAATTGTAGACACAGCCTGAGCCTAGAAGCACTTACTATCTCAGGTACAATGAATCTAAACATGGCAATTGTGCATCAAAGCTCTGCATGCCAACTACTTTTGGGGATAACTTGAGAAATCTAAGCTGGTTTCTATAGAATCACATAGTTCTGGAAAACAGTAGCATAATCAGTCCTCCAGAAACAAGAGTGATGTAGCATGATGCATAGACCAAAGTGGGTCTGCTGGAGCCAGTCTGCATCCAGCAGCATCACTGCCGACAGAAGCAGCACTGCTGGATCTGAGTAACACCAGCAGCAAATATCTGTAACCAAACTCCTTCCAAGTCCTCTAGTACCTCATTTATCGAGGAGGTTGGTACATTCTGTTATCAGGGTATCCTAGGTCTTTATTTAATTAAAAAAAAAAAAAAAAAGGAAAACTACCAAAAAAAGTAAAGATGGCTATACAGTCATTTCACTCTATGACTTTTGTCCCTAAACAGGTGTTGCTGGAGGGAACAGGAACAGGAGGAGGGAAATCTCTGAGCAAAGACAAGTTGTCCATTTCTTCTGTGAAAGGTAATGGCTACTGGTATTAGGTGTCCCACTGGGAAAGCAAGGCTGCAGATTTAAGTTTCCCAGTCCTGTTAGTGGCCCCATGTGGAGATCAAGCCTGTTCTATTTTAAAAAGTATTTTAATGAGCATTAAATCTATAGAGCTCATCTTCAAAAACAGAAATGCTATGTAGGCCATACAAATGCATTCTGAGGTTGATCTGGGTTTTTTGCTTGAGACTTCTGCCTACTAAGTACAGTGACAGCAACACTAAAGAAACTTGCCAAAACTTCTGTTTTACAAATTTCAGTATAAAAACCTATTAAGATTCTCAATATGTCTCATTTCACTTTTTACAAATTCAAAAAGCTCCTCTCACAAGCGCTAATAATTAATAGGGTGCTTTGAACTTCACTGAAAGAAAAAACGTTGGGAGGCTTGAGGTAAGTAACTTTCAAAAGCTTTGATTATTCGTCAAAGAAAAAACTGTTTGAAATACGGCTAGGAAATGGTAAACCATTAAGAAATGGCAACCGGAACACCCAACACATCCCTGTTTCTTTCTTTTTCTGAAATTATATCTTCTGGCTGTATAAAGCCTTCATTAGTATTTCTCAGGTCTCCTTATATGGCAAATTATGTAATAGAAATATGATCAAAGCTGTAAGTACCAAAAATACATTAACAGCCCTTCTTCAACAAATTCCTCTAGTGGGGATTGTTTTCACTAGATAACTAAAAAAGTTGGAAATTAGTTGAATATCAGCCTACTGGCAACAGAGTATAATTATTATTATACTTTTCTGCAGCAACTATAGTTAATTTTTCTGTATCACTTCAATGAATATTTGAACCCAAGCAGTAAAAACTGAATTAGTTAATGGTCTTAGTGCTTCAAATTTACTAACAAACCTATCTCTTAGATCCCCTGGACTTCAAACTGCTTATGCTAAAATGTACTGATGCTATCAGTAAGTTCTGGCAAACGTGTTTGTTGAACAAAACACATTTTAGATTTGTTTACAAATACATCCTGCAGCATTTTATAAACAACCATAAATAGCTCTTTATGGTGTATGAACACCTGCAAGGCTGGGCCTAGTACCCCTACAGTTTTCCACTGACTTTCGAAATCTCTCCGTGTTGACAGGAAGATAAAGTGGACAGATCCCTTTCAGCATGAAGACTGCAATGGCTCTTCCCAAACACTGGAATTCAGCAAATAGTGTGTATTAGGAAATAAGCTATATTGTTTAGATACACTTGAAAACTCAAAAATAATTTAAGAAAGGACAGTTCAATTGGAGAAATTAAATTTGCCTGGTAGACCAGAAGTACCATTGATGTACAGTGTTATTTGAAAGACCAAGATTAAATAATATTGTAAAAGTAATTAGCTGATTTCTCCTATTTTAAATTTCCTCATGACAAAGCTGGTGAATAAGGAGTTCCAGTTATCAAAAAGGCCTATATTTAAAGACAAATCAATTAGGTTGTCTTATGTCGTTCAGCTTTTTATTTAATAATTAGGGCCACCTAAAAGAAAGCAGTACATTCCTGATACTAGAATGTGTTCACACCACATGTGATTAAATATTTTTAAAAGAATAACTATTCTTTTTTGAAAAAATAATCAAAAGCTATCTTTCAAAATAGTCCAGCTCAGCACTATCATATTAAAATCAATTAGAAAACACTGCAGAATTTACACAGCTATTCTATCGGGCCCTCCACATGCAAATCTCCAAAATAACGATCTCAACACTAAGCATTTTAGAAATGTTAATTACTACCCAGACTTTGAGTGGGGCTTCAGCATTCCACAGTGGTTTGAAGCTCTCCTCCCTGAAGCCAGGTCAGCCCAGCTGTGAATGCTTTCAAAAATTCTCACCATTCTTAATATGAAATGTGACTTAACATCGCTCTGCAAGGTGTCTATCATGACATGTAAACAAACATGAAAAACTACACATTCAGCTGGCAAATCTGTTTGTTTCGATAACAAGGATCTTTAGTCTAAAGACACATATTTATCTCCTGTCCAGTACTGTGAGTAAATGCCTTTTTTTTTTGCTTTCACAATGATTTCACTGATGATGACTCAATGAAATATCAGAAATACTAATATCCACAAAATGACTAGCAACTGTGGAATAACACATATTAGAACTGTCAATCCAGGCTAATATGCAGCTGCCTCAGATAGAGATAACCTGCACCCTTTGATCACTGAGGTCTCTGGAAGCAAGTCTTAGGAGGATAATACAGATGCCTAGAAGAGTAAGAGTAATGTTGAGTGAAATTTTAGCTGGATCCATGTCTGAAAAGTTAAATACTTTCATCTGGTTCATGGGTCCATAAATTAGCAGATATGGGCATTCTGTACTCACTTTGACCTACGCCTAAACCTTCCTTAGCGAAGTTAATGAGGTTCTCTTTGCTACAGAATTAAAAAATAACACTGATCTGTTTTTGAAGAAACTTAACCAAACTGGCTGTCTTGCTATATCCTGTATCTTCCAAAGGTTGAGGCATCAAGGTCAGCTGAGCAGAACAACTGCAAGTCAAACCACGAAGCTCCTGAAAGTAACTTGTCTTAATCACTTTCACTCTCCTGGAGGCTTCATTTGTGAAGATTTAAGTTGCTCTTAATTTGGATTCCCAGCTTGAGTCATGAAGGCTTCAACCTGCAAACCCAAACAGGGGAGTATACAAATTTACAGTTTATTGCAGAAAGCTGATTTGAGCAGTTCCAAGAAACCAGCTAGGACTAAGGAGCCAATTGCAATGCGAAAATGATTGATTAATCCAGGGTAAAGTCAGTTGATTTGCAACACTCTAACCAAACATCAGAACACAGAAACTATTTTAATGGATTAGACCAGATGTCTGCCTAGTCCAGAGGGGATAGCACCAGAATATGAACTCCGTGGCAGACAGATGTGAGATAATCTACCCGCCATATTAAGTCTCAATCTCATTTGAAACACACAGATTGTCTTAAACCATGATATAGAAAATAATGCTGAGCATAACAGTATAATAAAAGCTGATGGTAGTCCCTCTTCTGAAGTACTTTGTGCAATTCTGTGTCCTAACTCCCCTCCCCAATAAAAAGAAAGTTTAAAAATTTGCAAAAGCTACTACAGAAACAAAAATCTTCTACCTGTAGAAGGAATGGAAATATGAGAAGATTTGTATATACAGAAACAATAAGTATAATTACCAGTGCAAGAAAGATTAACAAATTTACTTTCCTATAACAGAAGAATAAGGAGATACTAATAAAAATTAAATGAAAAATTCTTACGTTATAAAAAAGTATGCTTTCCATAAAATATAATTAATATAGAAAACCTCTTGACACAGTATATTTGCAAAGCTAAGAGTTTAGAGGAATTGTAAGCATCTCAGCTGTATATAATTCAGTATCAGATAATATTTAGGAAGAAACTGAATTTTTAGAATCACCTTTCTGTGAGTGCACATTATAATTTTTTGTGACAACTTTCCTGGACGCTGGCTCTTGTCAAACACAGGTTACTGAATTAAACCAGTAAATAATGGTCCATAACAGTAATCTGTGTTGCTATAAAGCATGGATAAGTTACCTTTAATTTCTCTATAACTCAGTTTTCTCATTCGAAAATTACAATCAATATTTCCAGATGGGAAGGTAAGAGTTAGGACTTGTGTCTTCTGATGCAGGAGTAAAAACATGATGTTGCTGTAAAAACAAATCAGCAAGTATAATATAGTCATACTGGCTAAATCAATTTATATGGTTTGAACAATGTTCAGCCCTTCTGTAATGGCTTTATTCTCCTTGCATCCATACATAAAAATTTAAATTTGTGCAAAATGCAGGTTCCAGAGCTAGATTGCTCCATCTCCTAAAGACTGGTCCAGATCTGACTTAACATGAAGACATACTAAGCAGTCAGGATGCGTCAAGAACAAGAATGTTCCCCAGTTATGTTACCTGCACATCAATAGTGTCAGTGTCACCTGGCACTAAGGAAACAAACAAGTTCTTTTGGGAATCAGCCAAAAATCCCTACAAGAACCTATCCATCCCCTTAGTGTCAGGTGACAGTCAGACACCAAAGTTTAGAGGCAAAAAGAAAGAAAAAAAAAAAAAAAAAAAAAAAAAAAAAAATGTCCTTTCTTAAAATGGGCCAAGATCACAAGTTTGCTTCCCAAGCCCCACTGATCTCTGAAAGTTTTGGGCCTTCTTCCTATCTTTGTGGTCCTTTGCATTTTTGATTCCTCATCTGGTTTCTCAAAAATAAAAGGACCCACAAATTAAGACTTGCAAAATAGCCAGACAGGAATTGCAAAACTTAAGTGGACATGTATCAGGAACATGCAACAAAACATTATTTCAGCACAAGCTCAAACACATTTATGAGAAAATCACTGATTAGTTACCTGCAATGGTCAGATGTGGAAAAGGTTCTGGACAAGGTTAAAAACAAAACCAAATACTGTAAGGCTGCGGATTTAAATAATATAGCAGAGAACACAGTGTAAATTTATGCATTAATCTGGAAATAGTAAGAAAGTTACATTAAATGTTAAAGAAAGTTACTGACAACAGCATAGGCATAGGTAGATGAAGTAGGTAGGAAAGCTGACAAAGTCGAATGGCCACTGAAGACTTGTTTCCTCTTTCACAGCACTATGTTCAGTAGTGTTGCACAACACAGCGGATGAAAATAATCACCTGCCTCATGGACAAGTTTAATGTCTAATAAACTTTACAGTGTGGTTTCAGGGGTTCATAAACAGCATGGCTGAACACAGGGAATCCAAGAACCTTATGGCCAATCCATTTAGATGTAGCCTGTGTGGAATTCTTTCCCAGAGCACAACAGCATTTCACATATTTATCATATTTTTTTTCACCTTTAAGTGAACCAAATACCCAAAATCAGTTCTATGGATAATGCATCTCCATTTGAAGCCACTTCTGAAACTGAAAAGCACATGCACAGCAGCTAACACAGCAGGCTAGAAAAATTAGATTTTGGTCCAGGAACCCAGATAATTTATGTATGATGCTGTGGGTTATTAAATATTCATGAAAACTGTTTCATCCTCCAAATGTTAATATCTCTAATTTTCATAACTTATTTGGGGGGTTTTGTTTTCATGTGGGTTGGAAAAGACCTTAACTGTGGTTTCTTACAATAGGGAAGACCCCTGTACCTAGAGGATCCTTATCATTCATGAGGAAACACAAAACTTTAGTTTCACCGACAAACTTACCTTTACATACACAGTTAGAGCCATTGTTAATACGTCCTGAATAGGAAGAATAACATTTGGCACCTTCCCTAAAGGGACCCTCACAGAATGACCTAGGTGGGATGTAAGGTACAGCACGCTGTCCCTCTGCAGCCTCTGGGTACTTGACACCTGCAGGGACAGGTCAAGCAGCACCTGCAGGTCAGCCCCCAAGCTATCAGCCTTGTGGTGCAGCTTCAATTCCAACCCCACGTCTTCACGTTATTATTTTTTTCATTCTAAATAAAGCAGGTCGTGGTTTCTTGTGTGAGGGGGACTCCTGCACACCACCGTTTCGCTCTGCTCTTCACCACCGCCACCTTTGCCCCCTGTGCGGGGAGGATGGTGCACACTGCAGGCTGCCCCACCATCTGCTTCTTCCTCTGCACAACCGGGGCTCCCCCCCCCCGCCCCATTTCGTCTGCTGGGTGAGCCGGGCTCTCGCCCTCTCACCTTCCGCCCCACCGCGGGGCAATCCCCGCTCAGACAGGGCTGCGGAGCCGGCGGGCTCTCCCCCTCACCCTGCCTGAAGGGGCACTCCCCACCACCACCTCCTCCTCCTCCTCCTCCTCCTCCTCCTCTCCATGGGAC